TTGTGACTTGGGGTTAACTTGGGGAGCTCTTAGGTGAAAGAGGAGGTGAAAGCCGCCCACAGTGGGCGCAGAAGGGGCTCTGGGATCCCAGATCCGTATCTGGCTCCGATCTGGGTGAAAGCCACCCACGTGGGCGCAGAAGGGGCTCTGGGTCCCAGATCCGTATCTGGCTCCGATCTGGGCGTTGAGATGAGGCCAGGTGATCCCGTGATCCCAAGAGAAGGGAATGTGTACAGGAAGCAAACCTTAAAAGAAAAGAGTCTGCTAGGTGCACCAGGGCCTGGGGAACCACCTGGGGGCCCGCACAGCTGGGTAGAGCTTGGAGAGTGTGTGGGGGGGGGCGGGTCAGTGGTCACTGGAGGGGCCGGGAGGTCCTAGAGACCCCAGCGGCGCCGGGACAGAGCCAGGCCAGCCACCTGTCTGTGGAGAACCAGCAAGTCGTGCGCTTCTCTCCCAGGGTGCTGGGGTCTCTGTGTCAACCAGGTAGCCCAAAAGCAGCTGTGGCCAGTATGTAAGTGATAGGCCCAATGAAACTGTCTGCCAAGCACAGGCCTTGGCCCACACCGCGAGAGAGACCAATGGGTGGGGGCCTCAGGAGACGGAGTGGCCAGCGAAGGCCCCTCTGAGGCCCCGAGACAGAGAGCAGGGAGACGGAAAGCAGCCGGCCAGGTGAGTGGCCGCCAGCACTCCAGGCCGGTGTCCCGGAGGCGAGGCTGGGGAGGTAGGGCAACAGGACTTGAACTTAAAGTACTTTTATTTATCCGAAGGGCAGAACAGGAGAGAGAGGAAGAGAAACAGGGGGAGGGGGAAAGGGGAGGGGAAGAGGGAGAGAAGAAGTGGGGTTGGGGAGAGAAACAGGGAGAGACCTTCATCCACTGGCTCCTTCCCCGACAGCCGGGGCCTGGCCAAAGCCAGGGGCCAGGAACTCGTGCCAGGTCTCCCGCACAGGTGGCGGGAGCTCAAGCACTTGAGCCAGCACCTGCTGCCTCCCAGGTGCAGTAGCAGGAAGCCGGATTGGAAGGCGGCGGGGCGGGGCTCCACCCCAGGCACTGAGCTGGGGGCGGCTTAGCCCACCGCACCACCACAGCCGCCCGGATCCGAGCCTTCAAAAGCAGGTGGGCCCTGGCTGCTCCCGCCAGGAAGGGGGCTCAGCTGCCCGACCAGCGAGAGGCTGGAGCGTAGGTTTAACCAGGAGACACCCTCTGGCTGCTGGCACGGGGACAGAGTGGAGCTTGCCAGGGGACCAGGTGGGTGTGCTGTGCACCTGCCAGGTGAAGACGTGGGCCTCCTTCCCTTCCCTGGGTCTCCATCCCCTCCCGTCTCTCCAGGTTGTTTGTTTATTTTTGTTTCCTGTGTTGCTGCTGCTCCTCCCCTGCAACCCCCGCCCCTCTGGGTCCATCTGGGAGCCCCTCCCGGCCTTTGGAGCGGCTGGCCAAACGCCCACGCTCTCGGGGCTCTTGTCCCCTGGCTGCCCCCACTCCCACTCGAGGCTGCCCTGGCCCACGCCATCTCGCGGGTCTCCCTCTCCCAGCTCCGTGTCCGGCCTGAAGCAGACGCTGCTGGCCGAATCGGGGACTCTGACCAGCTACAGCCACCGAGTGTTCTCGGCCTGGGACTTCGGCCTCCGCGGGGACGTCCACGTGCGGCTGCGCCAGCGCAAGATCCTGTTTGAGTTACAGGTGCGGCCGGGGGCGGGGCGCGGCCCTCCCCATCTGGGGACGCGGCGGAGATAGCGCAGGGCCCGGCTCAGCCCTGCAGACGGGGCTGCGAGGAGGCCGGGGAGGGTGCCCAAGGTCGAAGGGTGCAGGGAGGCGCCTTGGCTCCGAGCGCAGCGGCCGGCGCGCTCCTACAAGGCGGGCCTTGACCTCGTGGGGATGGGGCGGGGCCTGGGGTACCGCGCCGGGGCGCACAGGGGCGAGGCTGGACTACGCTAGGCAGGGACCCGGGGCGGGGGCGGACCCCACGAGGGCGCGGGACGCGGCGGGAACCAGGACTGTACAGAGGCCGGTGGCGGGCGGCGTCAGGTCCATTTGAGGAGGGGCTTCGCGCCGCCCGTCCCAGGCCGACGCCCGTGTCTCCCGGCCTCAGGTGGAGCTGGAGGAGGCGGCGGTGCGGCGCCGGGCTGCGGTGCGCACGCTGGGCCAGCGGGCCCGCGTGTGGGCGGTGCGCGCGCTGCTCAACCTGCTGGTGCTGGCGCTCCTGGGGGCCGCCTTCTACGGCATCTACTGGGCCACGGGGTACACGGTGGAGCTGCAGGTGCGGGGGTCGCGGACGCAGGGAGGGGCGGGGGGCGCCGGGGCCTCGCCTCCCGCTCACCCGCCCCCGCCCTCCTAGGAGGCGCCCCTCGTGCAGCGGGCGCCGCTGCTGCGCCTGGCCGTGAACTTCCTCCCGTCCGTGTTCATCTCGGCGGTCAACTTCGTGCTGCCCCCCGTGTTCAAGGCCCTCGTGCCGCTCGAGGGCTACACGCGCAGCCGCCAGGTCGTTCTCCTCCTTCTCAGGTCTGGGCCGCGGGGGCAGGGGAGCGGGGCGCGGGCCGGCCCCGTCCGTCCGTCCGTCCGCCGGCCAGCGCCCCGTCCCGCCCCCAGGGCCGTGTTCCTGCGCCTGGCGTCGCTGCTCGTCCTGCTCTTCTCCCTGTGGGCGCAGATCACGTGCGGCGGCAGCGCCCAGGCCGAGGACTGCAAGGCCTGCGGCTACAACTCCAAGGAGCTGCCGGTGGGAACCCGCGAGGGGCGTGGGGCTGGGGGCGGCGGGCGCGGAGCCGGGTCCCGGGGGTCCTTCCGACGCTCTCGTCCTGCAGTGCTGGGAGACCCGCGTGGGCCAGGAGATGTACAAGCTCCTGCTCTTCGACCTGCTCACCGGCCTGGCGGTCACGCTGCTCATCCAGTTTCCGCGCAAGTGAGAGCCCCGCCCACACAGGAGCAGGCCCCGCCCTCGCCGCGGCCACGCCCCGGGATTCCCTAGCGCCACAGACCACGCCCCCATGCCTAGACGGAGGCTTTTCTGGCCCCGCCCAGGACACGCCCCCACCACGGAGTGGACTCGGGAGCCCCACCCCCACAGCAGGCCACGCCCCAGCCTAGTAGGAGGCTTTCCTCTGGCCCCGCCCAGGACACACCCCTCCGCGGCGGCGTGGCACCTTGGGCCCGCCCCCAGCCCGCGCTCCCCTGCGATTGGCGGGCGGGACGGCGGAGGCGGGGAAAGCGCGGCGGCCCGCCCGTGACTCCGCCCGCCGGCCGCAGGCTGCTGTGCAGCGGCTGCCCCGGCGCGCTGGGGCGCGTGGCGGGGACGCAGGAGTTCGAGGTGCCGGACGAGGTGCTGGGACTCATCTACGCGCAGACGGTGGTCTGGGTGGGGACCTTCTTCTGCCCCTTACTGCCGCTGCTCAACACGGCCAAGTTCCTGCTGGTGTTCTACCAGAAGAAGGTGCGGGGGCCGGGGGCGCGGGGGGCGCCCGGCTCCAGGTCCGCCGCGGACGCTGCGCCCCAAGCCGCCCCTGCCCTCCCGCCCGCAGGTCGCCGTCTTCTCCACCTGCTCCCCAGCCTCCCGCACCTTCCGGGCCTCCACCGCCAGCTTCTTCTTCCCCCTGGTGCTGCTCCTGGGCCTGGCGGTGTCCGCGGTTCCCGTGCTGTACAGTATTTTCCTGTGCGTGAGCCCCGCCCTCCGCGACCACGCCCCGCCTGACTCCGCCCCGCCCCGTGACCCCGCCCGTCTCCCCCCGCAGCATCCCCCCGTCCAAGCTGTGCGGCCCGTTCCGCGGGCTCCCGTCCATCTGGGCCCAGATCCCGGAGGCCATCAGCGGCCTCCCTCAGAGCTCCCAGAACGTCCTCTTCTTCCTGGGGACCCAGGCGTTCGCTGTTCCCCTGCTGCTCATCTCCAGGTCAGGGGCCTGCGACCAGGGAGGGGGCTGCCCGCCGGGACCCCGGTGTGAGGAGGAGGGACCCGGGGAGGGGTCGGAGGGCACGGGGAGGGTCAGGGTCCGGGCCCCGGGGTGAGGAGGAGGAGGGACCCGGGGAGGGATTGGAGGGCACGGGTAGGGGGAGGGCCCCGGGGTGAGGAGGAGGGACCCGGGGAGGGGTCGGAGGGCACGGGGAGGGTCAGGGTCCGGGCCCCCGGGTGTGAGGAGGAGGGACCCGGGGAGGGGTCGGAGGGCACGGGGAGGGTCAGGGTCCGGGCCCCCGGTGTGAGGAGGAGGGACCCGGGTCCATGCCCATGCCCATGCCCATGCCCATGCCCATGCCCATGCCCACGCCCGCGCTGGGATGACGAGGCCTCCCCGCCCGCAGCATCCTGCTGGCCTACACCGTGGCCCTGGCCCACTCGTACGGACGCGTCATCTCCGCGCTGAGACGCCAGATGGAGACGGTGAGCCGGGCGGGCCCTGGGGCGCGGCGCCCGCGGCCGGCCGCCCCTCACGCCCTCACGGCCCCCACGGCCCTCCCGCCCCCAGGAGGCGCAGAACAAGACGTTCCTGGCCCAGCGCGCCGTGGCGCTGAGCGCGGCCCGCGCGGCGCGGACCCCCGGGCCGCCGTGATTTCGGCCGGAAGACGGGAGCGCCGGAGGAGACCCCGCCGCCAGGCCCCGGGCGCTGTACCGAGCCTTTTCCTCGGATCAATAAACGCAGAAGAGGCTGCCGGGCTCTTTCAAACCCGGGAGCGAGCCAGTCAGATTTATTGGCTTGTGTGTGCGTGTTCCGCGAGAGGACGTGACGTGCGTGCTGGCCAATCGGCGGCCGTATTCCGCTGGGTCAGGGGCGGGACCACTTGTGATTGACTACAAACCTTAATAGCGGTCGCTAGGCAACACCAAGCGTCAAACGCCAGGGATTCGCTGTGATAGAGAGCGTCTCAGCCAATCATCTCTCCGCCGACCCGGCGGGGGCGTGCTAATCACAGTCCAGAGCCAACCCGTAGGCGTGGCAGGGACAACCGGAAGGGGCGCGCCCCACGCCAATCGGAAGTGCCGGGAGGCGGGACTGCAAGTCCGCGTACGGCCACGGCGCCATGAACATCTTGCCCAAGAAGAGCTGGCACGTTCGGAACAAGGACAATGTGGCCCGCGTGCGGCGGGACGAGGCCCAGGCCAGGGAGGAGGAGAAGGAGCGGGAGCGGAGGGTGCTGCTCGCGCAGCAGGAGGTAGGCCGCGGGCCCGGCCGGGCGGAAGTGGCGGCATTGCGCAGGCGCGGGCGGCCGGCCCGGGCCCGGGGGTGTGCTGGCGGCGCGCGCCCCCGCCCGCGGCGGTGTCCGGGGGGCTCGCCCCGTACGGGCGCGGCGGGGCCCGAGGTGGCCGGGTCTCCCGGTGCCTCGGGGCAGCCCGGGCTCTAACCCAGCGCCTCACAAAACGCCGGCCCCGTTTCCGTGGCTTCTTATTTTTTCATGTGTATTTGAAAGTTGAGAGAGAGGACGGCCTTGCACCTGCTGGTTCACCCCGGGTGGCTGCTTCCAGGTCCCCCGTGCGCGCGTGGGTGCCGGGGCCCAAACACTTGGCGAACTGCAAGTGGAGCAGCCGGGACTCGAACCCGTGCCCGCGGCGGTGGCTTAACCTGCCAGGCCGCAACGCGGGCCCCTGTCATGGTCTTGAAAGGCAGAGTTACGAGATGAGAGAGGGCGGTCTTCCATCCGCTGGTTCACTCCCCAAGTGGCCACAGTGGTCAGGGCTGGGCCAGGCCACACCCAGGGGCCCAGAGCCTCTTCCAGGTCTCCCATGCGGGTGCAGGGGCCCAAGCACCTGGACCATCTTCCGCTGCTTTCCCAGGCCACAGCAGAGCTGGATCGGAAGTAGAACGTCGGGGTCTCGAACCGGCGGCCACGTGGGGCAGTGGCTTTACCCCCTCTCACACAGCACCGGCCCCCTGTAGCCATCTTTAAAAGGTTACTTTATTTGAAAGGGGGGTGACCCAGACCCAGTCACCGCTGCCAACTGCAGGTTCACCCCCAGGCTGAAGCCAGGGGCTGGGAACGCAGCCCGGGCCCGCCCACGCCCACGCCCACGCCCACGAGTGCAGCGGCAGCAGCAGGAGCGGCAGGTTGGCGGCGACTGCTCCAGCTGGCAGCCCTCGGGCCGGCCCAGGGCCCTCCTCTCCCCGAGTCCTCCCTAACCCTCGAATCACTCCTGGAAGGGCGGCCGTGCCGTGGTCAGCACCAGCCCACGCCCCCAGGAGCCGCTCCCAACAGCGCTGCTCTCCCCCCAGGCCCGCACAGAGTTCCTGCGGAAGAAGGCCAGGCGCCAGCAGGCGCTGCCCGAGCCCGAGGCGGCAGAGGCGGGCGCCCTGAGCGCCGGCCCGGTGGACCTGCTGCGGGGGCTGCTGGAGGACGGGAAGGCGGCCGGCGGCAACAAGGAGCACGAGGAGGAGCAGCGGCAGGAGAAGGTGAGCCGGGCCGGGGCGGCTGGGGGCAGCTCGGGGGCCAGGCCCACCGCAGGGCGCCCCCCCCCCCCCAGCTCTGCCTCTACCCTGCAGCGGGCCCTGGGCTGGTCCGGGCGACAGTGCTGGCTCCAGAGCCCCGGGGCCTGGCCTGAGATCCCCGCTCCTCGCTGCCCTCAGGAGCGGCGAGAGCGAGCGCTGGGCATCCTGACGTACCTGGGCCAGAACCTGGGCCAGAGCGCGGCAGAGGCCCAGACGCAGCCCCCCTGGTACCAGCTCCCTCCGGGGCGAGAGGCCCCCCCACCCGGCCCAGGCCCGGATGAGAAGCTCAAGAGCCGCCTGGACCCCCTGCGGGAGATGCAGAAGCACCTGGGGAAGAGGCACAGCGGCGACAGGGACGGCCCGGGCGGCAAGGAGAGGAAGGAGGGACGGCCGAAACCGCGGCCCCCCGGGTAAGGAGGCAGGCCGGCCCGGGGCATGGCGGGGCCACGCTGGGTCCTGTGGGAGCCCTGGTCCGGGCGGCTGGACAGAGCGGGGGCCTGTGTGCACCAAGCCCGCCCCCAGGCACGCCTGTCTCCATCGCATCTGCTGTGTGGTAGCAGGGGGCACGAGCTGTGGGCAGGCGGCCGAGGAAGGCGTCTCCCGGCAGGCTCTCTGACTTCTCTCCCCCAGACCCCCGTCCCTGGAGCAGCTCCGAGCTGAACGTCTCCGGCGGGAGGCAGCCGAGAGGGCTCGGGCCGAAGCCCTGCTGGCCCGGGTGCGAGGCCAGGCCCCCGGGCAGGGTCAGAAAGAAGAGGAGGAGCTGGACGACCGGCGGCGGCGGTACAACTCCCAGTTCCACCCCCAGCTGGCCCGGCGCCCCCGCGGTCGCGACCCCCACCTCACCCCCGACTCTTGAGGGGTGCAGGAGAGGCTGCTGCCAGCCGTCATATAAAACTATTTATTCATAAATATTTTCCAAAATGAAAATACGTTTACCAAAAAATGTCCCTCACTGGGGAGGGGAGGGGGCAGCCCTCGCCCCTGGGTCCCCAGGGTGGGGCTGAGAGGAAGAGAAGCCTCCCGGCCCCTCCCGGCTTCCTGGGGGAGGGGGTGCTCCAGGACCGGGGTCAGCATGCGGGGCGGGGGGGCCGGTGTCACTGGAGGTCCCGGTCCTCCAGGTAGCGGTACTCGAAGGTGAAGCCTTCCTTCTTCCGCTGGCCCCACTTCTCGTAGTCAAAGTAGATGTAGGTGCCCTGGCCGGGGAGAAGGCGGTCGGTGAGTGGGCCGGGCCAGCAGCCAGGGGACTGTCCTCAGGGCCGCTGGCTGGGACGAGAGGCCTCGAGGCACAGGTGCCACCACTGCTCTGGGACGGATGGCTCGGCTCGGAGCCTGAGCTGAGCCGTGAGCAGGGACAGGCATGTTCTGGGTGACGGCGTGATGTGGCTCGGCGGGAGGCCCTGGAACGGCCCGAGTGGCTACCAGGGCGGCACAAGTAGGCCAGTCGAGGACCTAACACGGCACCACCACGAGGTGGCGCCGGGGGGACACCACGGGAGCGCAGCAACTCAGCAGCTGGACCACGGACGCCCATGACGCCGGGCACGGAGCAGGCACCACTGCCACTTAGACGTTGTCAACTCATTTAATCCTCATAACAGCGGCGCAGCGGGTCCTGACACCCACGAGGCTTACAGGGAGGGACGGCGAGACGGGTTCAGGGGATGTGCCCACGGTCCCCCCCAGGAGCCGGCTCCAGGGTGCGGGAGAGGCGGGTGTTTCCAGTCAGTGAACGATTAAAACGCGAGAAGGCCATTTTAAGCAGCTCCCCACGGAGGGTCTGCCGAGCCCCTGCTCTGCTGGGTGCTGGGGGACGGAGGGGAGGGGCTGTCACAGCGACACAGCACCAGAAGCTGAGAGCGCCAGCCGCGCCCATGCTCGGGGCGGGGAGGGGGGAGCGTGGCGCTGGGCCGAGCGGAGGGGCAGCCGGCCGGGACCCTCACCTGCTCAAACTCGTCGGTGATGGTCTTGGGCTCCTCGTGCCTCTGGAACCACATCATGTACTTGGTGTGGAATCGCCACGACTGCTTCTTCAGGGCCTTGGCTGCCAGGTACTGCGCCTTAGTGCCCTGCGGGAGGGAGAGGTCAGGGGCCGCCCAGCAGCACAGCAGGTGCCCGGGGGCTGGGGCAGGCCCCAGGCCCTGCTGCAGACCACAGCTGGGCCGGACAGTCCTCCTGGAGACGGGCTGGGGGCGCAGAACCACTGCTGCTCAGAAGGGAGGCGGGAGGTGGAAGTGGCTTGAAGAGAAGCTAGCGTGGGAGGAGAGCCAAGAGGGGGCGACGGAGAGAACTTCTAAGCAGGGGAGAGGGTGGGGGCAGGAGCAGGCTCCAGGAGCACTGACTATGCGCTCACGGGCAGAGCGGGGTGGGGTGGGGGGGCTAAGTGAAAGGGCCTGGGACGGGCCACAGAGGCCACCCTCAGCCCAGGTGTTCAACAGAGGGCTGGAGTAGGGACAGGTGTGGCCCCAGGAAGGGGGTGTGGTCCCTGGGGCCGCAGAAGGGCACCCGCCCACAGGGGGAGGGTGGTGGCGGTGGGGCCCGGGGCCCCATTGTACCTCCAGGTAGTAGAAGATGAAGAAGAGCGTCTCTGTGGACAGGCGCTGGTAGAACTCCACGGTGTCTGAGTGTGGGGGCGGCATCTGGTGGTGGTAGGGGGGCGTCGGGCAGGGGTTCCTGGGGAGGTACTGCCTGTGGGAGCAGCAGGGCTGTCAAGGCCGAGCCCACCTCCTGTGGAGCCCCGGGCCGCTCTGCCGCCGCCTCCCTCGGCCCGGCCCTCACCGGATGCGCTCCGAGTCGGAGGGGTGGGGCATGTGGTGCCAGGCGGCCTCCTCCATGGCTTGCTGGTAGAGCTGCTCCTTGGTGAGGGGCACAGGCCCCAGGGGACACACGCCCAGCGACAGCGGTATGTTCACCTCCGACAGCTGCAGGGGCGGCTGGGCCGAGGCTGGAGGCGCCGACGTGCTGCTCAGGATGATGTCTGTGGGGAGGGGCCTCGGTGAGGCGACGGGGCCTGCCCTGCTCCTCCAGCTGCCCCCTCCCCACCCTCCTGACCCTCACCTCGCTCGGTCAGGTGCAGCGTCGGCACAGGGTCCTCGATGCCAGAGCTGATGGCCGCCCGCTCCGCCATGGACTTCAAGGAGCTCAGAGGCTCGGGGGCCTGGGGGGGAGGGCAGGGTGAGAAGGGGCTGGCCTAAGTGCCTGCGGCAGACCTGGGCTGGGGTGAGGGGTACAGCCCGCCTAGGCCCTGAGTGTTCTCGCCCACCCCTCCGTGAGGGCTCTGGCTGTGCCCTGCAGCCCCCAGCCACAGAGGCACATCTGGTGCCATGGGCTCCCACACACCGGGAACCCACACACTCAGGACCCAGCGCAGAGGACAGCACTGTGCAGGAGTCACACAAGCAACACCACACCCTCCTCCAAGGACAGCCACTGGCTGAGAACACCCGCTCCACTGCCTAGGAACCCACAGCATTGCCACCGGGGCCCTCAGCCCCAGTCCTCAGTGGTTCTGCGTGCAGTCCCAGCTGCCTCTCGGCCCACGCCTCACAGGGCAGCTGGCATCCTGCATGGGCTCCCTGCTGCTGCACCCGGGAAGGCAGCAGAGGACGGGCCAAGGGCTTGGGCCCCTGCACCCACATGGGAGACCTGGACGGCGCTGCTGGCTCCTGGCTCTGGCCTGGCCCAGCTCTGGGAAGTCAACCAGGAGATGGGAGACCTCTCTGCACGTCGCCCCCTGGGTGGGGCCCTGCGTGGTCATCCGCCCTTTGCCACACACACTCTCACTAAGGCCGCGCCTCACCCACTGCACTGGCTCTCTTCCCTCCCCAGAGCTGTGGACCCTCTCTGAGAATCTCGAAGCTTTTTCCTCTTTCCAGAAAAGGCCACATGCCATGCGTTTTCCACCTACAGCCTCCGACACGTCCTCCCAGGAAGTGGAGGTGACAGTGAACCCTGAGAGAGGGACACAGCCCCTGCCCCACCCCAACTAGAGTGGGTGCCGTCTGCGGCCTCAGCCCCCACCACCCTGCACAGCCTCGGCTTCAGCACTGGCCCCTCTCCAGTCCTCCAACAGAAGCTGCCTCATCAGACACCAATGGCCCAGAGCTGATGGCAGTGTTTCCTGACTGCCATGGCTTCTGGGAGGCGGGGACAGGTCACGTGGAGCAGAGCCCCGTGCGTCTTGTGAGAAGACACGAGGACAGGATGGGGGGCTGGAGCCGTGGGGGCACGAGAGCCTTGTGGAGCAAGGACAGCTGGGCCAGGACAGAGACCCAGGCTCCCCCAGAACCCACCTTGATTTCCGGGGCGGTGGTGAACTGCGGGGGCCCATTGAGCAGCGCACTGGCTGCCTTGGCCTCACTGAAGCTGGGCGTCGGGGAGCTGGGGGGGTTCACAGGCAGTGGCACCAGGAGGCTGGGTCCCCCCGAGGTGTTCCCTGAGCCTGGGGCCACGCCCCCAGCACCTGCTGGGGCTGCTGCACTGGGCTCCTTCCTGGAAGTGGGGGGAGGGACACGAGGGGCTCAGACCACCACCCTGGCATCACTGTTTATCAGAAAGGCAGGCGGCTTGGGGAGCTCGGGGGCTCGACAGAGGCCACAGAGCTCACAGGAGGGGATGGCCCCCCCCCCGCAGAAGCTCGACCATTTCCTCTGGGAGACAGGTAGACCCCATGGAATGCTCTGACCCGTGATCTGGGGCGCTGGGGAGGGAGGAGGACTATGGCACATTTCATTGTGGAAAAGGGGACAGCGGCCCCCCAGAAGTGGGGCGAAGAGTGTGGAGGGCACACTCACGAGTGTGCTAAAGGCCAAGGGCTGTGCACACATGTCCCAGGCAAGGAGACAGGCGGGCAGATGGGCAGCAGGGGTGCCACTACCCACCGCCCACCGCCCACCTCCACGGGGGCCAGGACACTCACGAGGTGCTGGGCGGTGGGTTGTGGGGGCCCGAGGGGGCGCCCAGGGCCTGGCTGCTGGCACTGCTGCCCCCGCTGCTGCTCAGGGCCACCTCTGCTGGGCTGTCTGCCACGACTGAGCTATAACCTGTGGGAGGAGGAGTGGTTAGAAAGGAGCTGGGGGCTGCTGCCCACCCTGCCCCCAGCCCACACCCCTGCCCACTTACTGGTGGCGCCGTTCTGCTTCCCAGAGCCTCCACCGGCACTGCTATTGCTGCCGCTGCTGCCGCCACCGCCGCCTCCCCCGCTCGGCTGCACACTGGGGGGCCGGGGCTGGGCGGAGCTGGGCCCGCTGGGGGCCGAGGGGGCCACTGCCTGGGCATAGGGGGCGGGAGTACCCGAGTTGTGGCTGGGAGCTGGACTGGCCTTGGGACCCAGGGCACTTGCAGGTGCTGCTGGGGTGGGGGCCCCGTTGTTGCCAGGGGCAGCGGTCAAGGCAGAAGCAGCAGGCGGGGGCCCGGAGGAGTAGGTGGGCGGCACAGCCGGGGACTGAGGATGCTGGTTGCTGTGGACAGGCTTGGAGCCGTTTTTGGCTGGAGACTGCAGGGGGAGAGGACAGAGGGTCAGGACCGGGGGCGGCAGCTCCCCTCTGGCCAAGCCCACCAGCCTCCACGCGGGCCTTGCTGACCCTGCCCCAGGAGGGCCTCAACCACATCCGTGCTTCACACACCCACGTTTACTTCCAGCCTGGACGCCCCCACGGGTGCCACGCAGTCACGTGCACACAGCTCAGCCGTCAGCCTGCAGGCGCCAGTGGGGGACTCCCAGCAGCCGAACACCCACAGACCGTGCTGAACGTCACTGGAGCCTCTGCGGGGCCCCAGGTGACCACGGGAGCGCCGGGGCCTCCCCACGGCAGTCACACCACCAGCCCACACCCTGGGCGCTGCTCGCCGCGAGTACCCCGCACTCAAGAGCCAGGGGACCGGCCACCCCTTCCTCCCTAGGACCACGGCTGGGCAGTGGGGGCCGGGGAGTCTGCCTGCGCACCCCTCCTCCGCCACTCAGCAGCCCGCTCTCTCCTCCAGGACTTCCCTCCCGTCAGCCACAGTGGGGCACAGGCCCGACCCCCCCTGCCCAGCACCGCGTCCCACACTGTGCTCCTCTGAGACTGCACCAGGCTATGCTGGCCAGGGCTAGTGCAACCCCTCGGCACCACACAGGCCCCTTTGCTCTTCTGACCCCTCAGCCAGGCAGCCCCAGGCTCTGGGTGCACAGGTAAGCACTGGCCCTGGACCCGGCGGGCCTCGCCTCGCCACGCTGCCTGGACCCCTGCCCCAGCCGCTGCAGCCCTCCTCCAAGACCCCTCGCACGTGCTGCCCGTCGCCCCGCTCTGTGTCTTGGGCCCAGCCAGCCTGCGGGCACCGCGGAGTAGGGGGGCTTGGACCTACCTGGCTCACTTCACTATCTGTCGAGCGTCCCCTCTTCTTATCGTCTTCCGAGTTCTCCTGAGGGGGAGGAGGAGTCAGGCTGCTGAGTGACCTCTGGGGCCTCAGAGTCCAGGCTCTGAAACCTGACCCTCCGGGTCCCTGCGCCTACCTGGCCTGGCCCTCAGCTCCCAGAGACACCGCCCACAGCCGGGCCCCCCGAGGGTCCAGGACCCAGAAGCAGGGAGGCCCCTCAGCCACCCCACAGCCTAGGCCCCAGGGCCTCACCGTGGTGCAGTTGGCCGGGCTGGGCGGGATGGGCGAGCTGGAGGTGGTCGAGGTGGGCGTGCTGCTGGACTGGTTGAAGATCTCATCCTCCATGTGGCTGTGGCTGGGGGGGGAGGTGGCGACCAGCGCCTGTGCTGTGGGGGCAGGGGGGCGTGTGCTTAGCGGGCTGGGGCTGGGGCAGGAGCCGGCCCGGCCCGCTCCCGCAGGGCGACCCCAGGCCTCACGAATGTCCTCGAGGTCCAGGTCGTCGTACAGGAACTCGTTCTCCTCGAAGTCGGGGTCCTGGGACGAGTCGACGTAGTACTCCACGTCGTCCTTGATCTTGCGGATGGCGTCCACGAGGATGGAGTCGTTGTCCAGCATGCGCAGGATGGTCTCCAGCATGCGCACGTGGTAGCGGTGCTTCTCGATGTGCCGCTTCAAGCCCTCGATCCGGTCCTGCTTCTGCTGGCGAGCCCAGGGCCAGGCTCAGGGGCTGCCGAGGGCCGGCCCGCCCCCGCAGAACCGTCCTCCCGCTCCAGCCCCTCCCCGAGCAAGGCCCGACACCCCAGGGGCCCCGCTGCTCTCTCCACAGAGCCCTTCTGAACCCAGCACTCCCTGGACACCCAGAGGCCCGCGCCAGCCCCACGCCTGGCCCCTAGGAGCCTGTGCAGCAACCCTGGCCCCCTTCTGGGGTGCACACACCCCACTCCCCACCTTGTCCCAACAGCAACCTCCATTCAAGGGTGCCATGTGGGGTCCTGCCACCCCCAGCCCCGCTCGCTCCCCTGCCGGGAGCCCAGGTTCAGAAGCCCGGTGCTCCGGGCAGGGGACACAAGCCCTTCAGACGCTGACAGCCTGGCCCCGGCTCCAGATCCCCCCTTCAAGTCTCAAGTCTCTGGTTCGCAACTCTGGCCCCGGCCCTGCAGCCACCCAGGGGACCTGCCCTGCGCGCCCTGCCTCTCCTGGGCCAGCAAGAACAGGTAGGTCATACCCCTCTGCCCCAACACCTGACAATGCCCCCTTTCTGGGATCCAACCCCCAGAGCACCCTCTGGGCAGCTTCCCTGCTGGCTCCCAGAGTCCTGCCTTGTCCACACGGCCACCTCACCTTGGGACCTGGGGCCTTCTGAGGGCCAGGAAGCCTCGCTCCCACTGCTCTGACAGCCCCACCATCTTCCCACATAGCCATGGCCGAGAGCCTGCCCGCCTCCTCCCTGCACCGCACCCCGTGCGGACCGCCCCCCCACTCACATCCTTGTCGCCCTTCTTCTTGCGCGTCTGCACGGACAGGGACTCCACCTCACTCTCAAACTGGTCCACCTGCATGTTGAGGGTGTCAATGGTGTTCTGGGGAGAGAGGCGGGCTGTCGGGCCGAGCTCCTGGGTGGGCTGGGCCAGGCCCCCGCGCTCACCTCCTCTTCTCTGCCCAGCTCACCGTGAGCCACTGGCCAACCTCTTCCTTCTCCTTCTGGGCAGGGTCCACCTTCTGGGCCAGGCCCAGGCCCTCCTTGCTATAAGCTTTGGTTTTGGTCTCTCGTTCCACAACTTTGAACCGCTCCATTTGCTGTGGAGAGCGCAATCGGCAGGGGCTCTTGAAGGCGGAGGGAGCGGCCTCCGCCTTCCCTCGGGGTGGACGCCTGACTGCTCTCAGTCCTCTGCGGTCCGGGAACCTGGCCACCTGCCCCCGGGGGCCCCAGGCCCCGGGCTCCTACCGTCTCGATGAGCTTGCGGTTGTCTATGAGCTGCCTCTTGTCCTTGATCTCGTTGGACGCCACCCATGTCTTGATCTGGTCCCTTAGCCGCTGCAGATGGGAAGAGCAGCAGTGGGCCTCCAGGGCCCTCTGCTCCCGGGGGCCCAGCAGTCCACGCCCCGGTCCCTCCGCCCACAGGACACAGGAGTCCGGCCCAGCCCCTCACTTGCAGCTTCTTAATCTCCTTCTTCAGGTCGGCCTCATACTTTTCTTTCTGGTTCGCGTTGGCTGCGTTGTGGAGCTGAGGGGTGGAGAACTCGGGGTCAGCGCAGGCCCCGCGGCGGGGGCACAGGTCCAGTCTCCCTCCTCCTCCTCTGGGTGCTGGGACCCTCGCTGCCCAGACCCAGCTTAGAGCTGCTCCTCCTGGGCCCAGCACCCAGCACGCGGCCCCTCTCCCGGCACCCAGCATGCGGCCCCTCTCCCTCAGGGCCACAGCCCGCACCTTCTGCCAGATGTCTTCAAACTGCTCCACGCCCTCGGACACCTTCTTGAGGCAGCGGTCAATCTCACCTGGCGGAGGAGGGCGGGGTGAGGGCCCTGCCGGGGCGGCAAGCGGCCCGAGGGGGGCCCAGGCCAGCGGCCGCGGCACAGCAGGCGCCCAGCCTCGTACCTTGGAGTTTGCGCTTGTCCGCCATCTTCCCGGCCCTACAGACGCACTCTCTTCATACTCCCTTGGAGACGGACGCTGCTGGAGACACAGGCAGGAGTGAGCGTCTGCCCGCGCCGACCCGCCGGCCAGGGCAGCAGCGCACGGGGTCGGGGAGACGAGCCCTCCATCCGAGCGGCAGCCAGGCCCGGGCCCTGCCCCCGCCGCCGCCCAGCACCAGCCCCGGCGAGACGCTGGAGGTCTCTTGTGATCTTTCGTGGGTCTTCAACCAGGAAGTGGGGAATTCCTAGGGCATGGAACCCCTTCTCCCCAGAAGACGAACAAAGACCTCCAGAGCAGGGTAGTCACACAGCATGCGGCGACCGAGGGACAAAGGTGCTGGCCCTGGGGACCACGCGATGCCTCCCTCAGACACGTCGGGGACTAACGGGACCGGGCCTGGGGACCACGCGATGCCTCCCTCAGACACGTCGGGGACTAACGGGACCGGGCCTGGGGACCATGCAATGCCTCCTTCAGACACGTCGGGGACTAACGGGACTGGCCCTGGGGACCACCAGATGTCTCCCCTTTCAGACACGTCGGGGACTAACGGGACCAGCCCTGGGGACCACCAGATGTCTCCCCTTTCAGACACGTCGGGGACTAACAGGACCTGCCCTGGGGACCACGCGATGCCTCCCTCAGACACGTCGGGGGACTAACGGGACCGGGCCTGGGGACCACCAGATGCTTCCCCTTTTAGACACGTCGGGGGACTAACGGAACCGCGCCTGGGGACCACCAGATGCCTCCCCTTTCAGACACGTCGGGGACTAACGGGATCAGCATTCGCTTGGGCTAGATGTCATGTCTGCGCGTGCGCCACGGGGGAGGAAATGGACCCAGCTGGACCACACACAAGTGGGCCTCAGAGCAGAACCCGAAAACCAAGAGCAGCTCACACTCCAAACCCCGAGGAGGGCTAGAGCTGGGGTCACACGGGAGGAGACCGAAATCTGGCTGAGGCAGGAGAGTGAAAACCTACCTTGGCTGCGAGGCAGGGCTCTGTGCTCACAGGAACCCCGTGCCGGAGTGGCAGCGGGGACTGGGGCAACAGGAGCCACCAGGCAGGCCCAACCTGAGCCGGGGGCGTCTGCACCCTCACGGCAGTCACAGGCAACCCGCGGGCTGGGGCCAAAAAGGAGTTCCCAGGGCCTTTCGTCCAGGGACGGCCGCCCTCGGACCCGCCAGGGAGCCCCGGGGAGGGCTAGCTTAGGAGTCTGAGCTGCCAGAAGGGGTCCCCGCCAGGGCCAATAAGCAAGAGCCAGGCAGCGCCCGCGCTCCCCTGCCATGGGCAGGAACAGCCCGCCCAGGGAGCAAGAGCCACAGGCAGGCGTCCCACGAGGGGCACCTGGGACGGTCCTGCCCCACAGGGCCTCGCCCGCTGGAAACGCAGCACGGGGCTGGGTGTCCACACCTAACCCCGGAGGCCGCGGTCCCACACAGGCTTTAAAGGGGCAGCCGACACTCTCCCACAGGGCCCACGGTGGGCAGAGGCAGGTGGCAGCCGCCCCGCAGACCTGAGGGAGCCGAATCTCGGGGTCGCCTGCGGGCCACACGCGGGCCATTCCCAGACCAGAGTCTCCGAGGCCATGCACAAGGAGGGGGCACGTCCCGACGGGGGAGCCCACAGCAGAGTGCGCGGAAGGGAGCCTGAGCTCCAGCCCCCAGCGCTCAGCAGCTCTGGGGCCCGGGCAGCAGGGAGGCTGGAGAGCGCGCAGGTGCGCGCCAGCTCTCACACCCGTCCCAGCCCCTCGGCACCAGCAGCAGGATGGAGCCGGCCCGACTCCGAGCGGGCAGCTGCCCAGAGAGGCCGGAGCTGGCCCCCGGAGGAACCCAGCCTCAGTGCCGCAGCAAGGGGAGCCCACGCTCTGGGGCGGCACGCGCGGACAACCGGGGCTTTCCCGCAGCACCGCCCCCCCCTCCCGTCCAGCAGGGAGGCCTGGCCCCCCACGAGCACGCCTAAAACAAAGGACAGTACTGCGGGCAGCTGCCCCGCCTCCGCGGGTCCCCAGGACGAGTGGGTGCGGGCAGCAAGCCGCCACCACACACCTTCGGAAAGACCTCGTCCCAAAGCCCTCTGATCGCTCTGATCCGGGCGACCCCGAGTCCCAGGGGCCTGAGGACCCCCGCCCTGGTCAGGAGAGGCCAGGGCAGCTTCAGTCCCCACGGCAGTGACCGCACAGGGTCTCGCACCGGCCACCAGCGCCCGCGGCCCCTGCTGAGCACAGCCCCTTGGCGTTCAGTCTCGTGCCGGGGAGAAATGACAGGTGGAGGGGAGAATAAACAGGGGCCAAGTGCGCCCCGCGGGTCCTAGGCCTCACGGCTGGCGGGGACCCCTCCCACCCAGGACAGGGGCCGACACCAGTATCCAGGAGGGCAGGGGAGGCCACAGCAGGCCCGGCCCAGGCAGCACCTTCCAGGGCGCGCGGGAGCTGATCAAGGACCCCTCCCCCAAAGGGCAGGTTCTGCTCCGCGAAAGGGGAGCCCAGCACGGGCACGGAGACCGGAGGGAGCAAGTTCCCCGAGACGGGCCCGGGTCCCTGCGACCCGGGGCAGCTCGGCGCACAGCCACCCGCGAGGGAGGCAGCCACATCCCGCAACGCCAGCCGCACCCCCTCCATCCCGCCCCGTGCGCTGCAGGGCGCGCGAGCCCCGGCTGTCCCGGGACCTCGCACGGGGCGACGCGCAAACTTTGCGGCTGCCCACGGAAGGAGCCGGTGTCCTTCCCGCGGGCGCTCCCGCAGGGCCTGCGCCCCCCGCGCCGCCGGGGTCCCCCAGCACCAGGGGCTGAGCCCCGAGGAGGCGGGCACCTGCGCCGCGGCGGGCCGGGCGCCTCGCACCCGCGCACCCCTCCGGGAGGGGGCCCCGCAGCGGAGGCCACGCGGGGCGGGGGTCCGGGCGCGGGAGGACGCCGGCGGCGCCGAGGGGCGTGAGGGGCCGAGCCGGGTCTGACGGAGGGGCCGCCCCCGGCCGCCCGGAGCCCCGCGCGACAGAGGCGGCAGCAGGGGCCGGGCGGCGGGGCATGTCGCGACAGACGGCGGTGTCGCCAGGGCGGGAGGCGGCGGGGAGGGCGGCCGAGGCGCCGGGGGAGGGGAGGGGAGGGGTCCGGCCCAGTCGAGCCTGATGCTCTCACCACAGGAGCTGGCGCCGCCGCTGAGGAGCGTATCGCGATAGCCGGGGGAGGCGAGCGCCCGCCGCCTTTTTCTCGCGCCCCGGGCCCGGGCGCTATCGCGATAGCGGCGCGAAGCGGAAGTGGGGCTGGGGGAGTGGGCCCGGGGTTGTTCTGACGACGGGGGTCGGGGCTCAAGGGAGGCCGCGGCGTCTGCCGATGGCTCCGCGGAAGCTGACCGGGCCCGGTCCAAGATGGCGGCGGCGGAGGAGGCCTCCCCTCCTCTCTTCTCGTCTCTGGCGCCGACCCGCCCCCGTGCCCCGAATATAGGCCCGTCATTGCTCCTGCTGCACGTCGCTCTTGACCGTAGGACGCTCCTTATTGGTTTCTGGCAGGGATGAGGCCGGCCCCCTCTCGCAGATTGGGCAGTCGCACCAAGGCGCGGCGTTCGATTGGCCTCCCGCGCAATCTGCTAGGATTGGCTCAGGTTTTCTTCCCCGCTCCGCCTCCTCCTCCCGCCTTCAAGGCACAACACGCCAGCGCGAGGGCCCGTGCGTCAATCAGGAGGCATGTGTTGTGCTGATTGGATTTGCCCACCCCCTCCTCTTGCAAACCCATTGGTCGCGGGGAGGAGCTAGGCTGATCAGGGGCGGGAAGTCGTCCGTCAAGTTTAGGGTCGCTTTTAATTGGTTGCGAGACGATTCTCTGCCCTGAAGCCATTGGTTGGCCTTAGAGGTGGGTGGGGAAAGCGGAGGAAGGCATGGAGAGTGGGCGTTAAAGGCCGCGTATCTAATGAGAGACAGGTGCCTTCAAAGCGGGGGCCGAGCCGAATCAGCTGCCAATCAAAACAGCCGCTGGGCCAAGGGGGCGGGGCTAGGCAGGAAAGCCCACCCCTCTCGCGCCGTTGGTCCTGTCTGTTAGCATTTATCTCAGCCTGGCCAATGGCGTCAAGAGTAGGCGGTACCCGTTCAGGGAGCGTGTGACAGCGGGTGTGGCCTGCAGGTGCGGGTCTCGGTCGCATCGTTGCTTACCCGCTGCGTCCCGGCCCTGTCCGTTGCATCTTCTTTTCCCAAGTGCCTCTGATTGGCACACCTCGGGAAACGGCCCAGGTAGCGCCTCCGAGGCCGCTGGCACGGTGCACGGCTGGCCAGGGGCAGGCGTGGGGGCTTTGCCCTGCCGCTGCCTGGTTCCGGGCCGGGAGGTGGGACCGTCGCCTCGGGCTCCCGAGCGTCCTGGGGCCCCTGCGGACGGCAGCAAGGAGATCGCGCCCTTCGGTCCACCTGTGCCTCTAGCTCCGCCCGCCGTCTCTCCCTGGGGTGGACTGCCCGCGGGAGCCGTGCTGGGACGGGTCGGTGCACATCCACCATCGCTTCCGCGATCACGCGGTGTGCTGGATGAGCCGAGGTGCTGTAGCTTCCGTGAACCGGGAAGCGCTGGCCCGGAGCCACACACACAGTCGGGGCGGGGAGGGCAGAGGTGCTCGGTTCCTCGCTAGGTGGGCCAAGAGTGAGATCAGTCCGGGGGAGATGCAAACAAGTACTGAGCCATTCTGCACCGCGCATCAGTCAGGTGCAGGGAGGGTCGCTTGTACTCCCCTGCTGGGGTCCTGAGAGGAGCCCTGCGCCGAGGGAGGGACTGGGCGCGGGAGACCTGCAGAGTGGTGATGGGGGCGGGTCCAGAGTGATGCTGTCAAACCTGGCTGCCGCACATGGGAACCACCTGCGGGGCTCACGCTAAAGCACCGGAAGCCGTCTCGGTGGTGGCGGTGGCAGGGGAGCCACCTAACAGGAAGTGCAGCACAAACGTCACTTTGAACTTGTTGAGATGCAGTTTGAGCCCCACCTCAGACCCACTGAGTCAGGACCTGGGCTCAGCAGCCCTCCAGGTAATTCCGAGCGAGTGAAGCCTCTTAGCTTAGCACTGCAGGGAAGGCGGTGACTCAGCCCCTCCCAGACCCACACCCTGTCCACCCCCAGGGCTGGGGGCGACAGCCGGCCCACAGCCACCGGCTAGGGCGGTCCCTAGCAAGCTGGGCTGACTTGAAGGCTGGGGGATACAAGCGGGCAGTTACACAGCCTGGGGTCATTCAGCCACCCAGAGGCGCCTGCTAGGGGGCAGACTCTGACTTGAGAGAGGAGTCAGAGATTGGCAGCGGGGTCCACCGGGCCAAGGGAGGGACTTGGGTCCAGACGTGCCCGGCGAGAAGGGGCAGATCTCAGATGGGACCCAGAGAGAAAGCGGGGGGAGGGGGGGAGGGTTGTGAAGACACAGACGCCTCACTTCCCGCTGGTTCTTGTCTTCACCCACCCCAGGGTAACTAGAAGCCCAGGCCTTGCAGACAGGGTGGGTGCGGTTAGCCCTTCCTGGGAAACCAGGCTCAGCCACACTCTGGGCCTGCCCACGCTGCCCCCTCGGCCCAGGTGAGGTGCCGCTGAGGACCTGGGCTGTGGGAGGAGGGTGCTCCTGGGGGTGGACCCATGAGGGTCCTCGCTGGCTCGGCACCACCCAACCCCAGTCACGGGGCCCCGGCACCCGCGGGGTTGGCATGGACACAGTCCACGCTGGCCTGGGGTCCCAGAAGAAAGTGGCAGAGCCGGGCTTGCACTGGGGGCCCAAGTTCTCCCCCCCACCTTCTGCCACCAACTTTGGTGCCCCAGGTCTAACACACGAAGGCTCCACAGGCCACGCCTCATAATGTGTTTTAATTGTACTCTCCCCCCAGACCATCTGCAGCTAGAGTAAAAAAAGGCATGGGGCAAGCCCCTGTGTCTCGGAGCGGGGCGGCCATCCAGGCCCTGGGGGAGCCCGCCCAGGCCCCGCGCCTCTGAGCCGGGCGGCCATGCAGGCCCCCTCCCGGTCCTGCCTGGATTGGATGAGGGGCAGGCGGGGCAGGCTCCTGGCCCCGCCCCCGGCCCCTTCAGGAGGGAGGGCCTCTGTGTCCCTTCAGTGGCAGCCCCTCAGGTGGACATGATGCCGCTCTTGTCGCCCTTGACCTTGAGGAACTCGGCCATGCTGGAGAAGTACTTCTGGTTGGCCTCCGCCACCTTCTTCTCGGCTGCCTGTGGGTTCACGATCTCCAGGCCCTGCGGGTGAGGCAGAGGGGAGCGTGGGGGGTGGGGACGCCAGAGAGCCTCCCGAGGGTGTCCAGGCTTCAGCTGGGCCCAGTCCCTGGGAGTCTCCGGTCCCCTGGACAGAGGCGACATCCCGCCCGGGAACAGAGCCCCAGGGGGCTGCGGCCGAAGCCGCGCCCAGCGGTGGTTCTTCCCATGAGGGCCTCTGGGTCCTGCTCCCGCTGCCCGGGCAGCCTGTGTCCCACGGTCCCACCGACCCGCGCTGTCTCCTCTGCTCTTCACCTCCTCCCCAGAGCCCGACGCTCCTGGGACTTGGTGGGCGCCCAGTGGACACTCCCTGGCTGGGCAAGGGAGCGTGGGGACGTCACCCATCACCATGGGGCACGCTGCCGTGTGGTGACTGCACGGAGCCGCGGACAGGTGTGGCGGCTCGGACGGAACCCAGGTGGGAACCCAAGCCCACCTGGCAGCTTTCTCGTGACCGCCTGGAGCCCCAGAGGGGGCGGTCGCCCGCACCAGGAACTGGGCAGCCCCAGGCCTCAGTCTGGGGCTGGTCTGTACACCCTCCTCACACCTACTGTGCCGGGACCACATGGCCAGGGAGAGGGGACCCCATCGTGCCGCTGCCTCGCGGGGAAAGGGAAGGAGCTTGGCTGCCCCCCACCCCCCAGCAGGCCCTGGTGGGGGGCGGCCCGAGCTGTACCTGCAGGGGCGTGAAGGCCACACTGGAGGCCGTGCCTGAGGTGCGGTCACGGATGGTGGACTTCCCGCCGTACACCACGCTCTGCTTCTGCAGGGTCCGCTGTGGGTGGGAGGGCACGGGATGAAGGGGCAGCCCCGCCCCCGTCCCTCACCCCGCCCCCACCTGGGCCCCGCCCATACCTGCAGCGTCTTGGAGATCCTGGCTTTGGTAGCCTCGTTCACCTGCGTCTGCCGCACGCGCCCACTGCCTGACTTGCCCAGGTGGCCCAGGCTGAAGCCCAGGTCCTCCTGGTAGGCGTCCTCCTCGATCTGGGGGGGGGGTGTGCCCGCAGTCAGGTGGGGGCCCTCAGCACACAGCGCCCTCTCTCATGCTTGGGGGGAGAGGGTGCGAGGGCAGCACAGGTCTCAGCACTGGGGGCACTGAGCCCAGCCGCAGGACCAGAGGATGCTCAGAGCACAGGGGGCGGGTGTGGCTGAGCCTGGGAGGCCGGTAGGCCTGGGTCCTGGGAGCCTGGTGAGGGTGGGCAGCGGAAGGGGAGAGCCAGAGGGGCCCTGGGTGGGGGGGGCGGGGACGGGGCAGGACTGGGGGCCCTGGGTGAGGGGCGGGGCCCACCTCCCCGAAGCTCATGCGGTTGGCCTGCTTCCGGATCTCCGTGAGCCCCAGCCGCTCCTTCATCTTGCGGTACCTGGGAAGGCGGCGGGTCACGCGCGGGCAGAGAGCTCGGGCCTCTTCCTCTCGGAGGCCCCCGCCCGCGCCCCCCGGGTCTCTCACCTGCGGCCGCCTCGCTTCTTCCGCTGCCCATCGAGGGGCGCAGGCAGCGGCTTCACCTGCTTCACGGGGGGCGGCTCCTGCCACTTGTCGAACTTGCGCTCTATCTCGTCTTTCAGCTCGTAGCCCACCTGGGGGGGGACAGGGAGGCGGGGGCGGCTGCACCACGGGCCATCAGCCCGCAGCACCCGACGGCCTTGGCGGCTCTTGGGTGCCCTTTGAAGCTGCTGCTTGACCAAGCTCTCAGCCCCGGACAGTGGGTGGGCCGGTCGTCCAGCTCACACCCGCGATGCCTGCTGCTCTCCCGGCACCGCCCTCAGGTCCCGCAGGCCCCTGTTCAGCACCTCCAAGGTGCCAGGTCCTCCCGAGGGCACAGAAGGTGCCCCATCACCGCCTCACCCCCCGGGGGCTGGGGGGGCTCCGGCCTCAGGCCGCCTGCACTGACCGTCCCACCTGGAACTTCCCCCAGGGGCCCTGGGACTTGACGCTGACTGCACTCGGGTGCAGGGCAGAACTTCCTGGCCAGAGAAGCCCTCCCGCCGACCCCTCACACCCCAGATGCTGTTCTTCTTCTTGGCATTTGTGGGGCAAGTGTCACCTGGCTGCTGCCCCAGCCCCCACTGGAGTGGGAGCCCCAGAGGCGGGGCTTTGTGTGCGTGTGTGCAGGGGTGGCGGCTGGGCACCTGAACACTGCCGGGCTGGGAGCCGGCACACAGCAATGCCCAGGACGGCAGGTGCGGCTGCCGAGAGCACAGAG